AGGGAAAAAAACGCGACTTCATAAAGCTTGTATAGTGACACAATTCATATTCATCATAGCGTGTCAAATTTAGAAACTTTATAGTATATCCATCCCTCTAATGATTCACATCTTTTCATATCCCACTTCACTTTTACTTTTTTACGAATGAAAATAAAAAATCTTACTTGTAGGATGAAGAAACCAGCCCAACTGACAATACTGCCGATGACCAATAGGGTTCCGGTGACCCAATTTTGGTCGGCGGCCCCGGCGGCGGCTGCTCCTCCGTGGTGGGCCCCATGGGCCGCCGATTTCACGAGCTGTATGGCCGGACCCTTGTAAAGCGTCATCACCATCGCTCCTCCCACCGTTATCGCCGTTCCGACAACCTTTGCAAGGCTGTGTATTTTCTTCATGTTCACCGTCTCTAACCTATATTACCATCATCATCATCATCATCACCATCATCACCATCATCATCATTATCATTATTACGTGGTAATGTCGATGGGGTAAACCTGAAAATGACGGCCATTATGAAGGTTACGGCAGGAAGTGCATTGACAAAAGCAGAAGTGTACGTTGCTGACGTGGCTTTCATCCCCATGTAGTACAAGTTCTGGTCCATCACCGGCCTGTAAAAATCAAAAAACAAAAAAAAAACCGACGTTGCGATTTGCAACCTTTGGTCAATTTATTTTTCTTTTAAATGAGAAATTTCTCTTTTTTAAAAATAAAAATAAAGATTAAATGTGCTTTTTTTTTCACATCATCTTTACACGAGTGTGTGTCGTATGTTCGTCTGATAAAAGATGTTGCGTGACGATAATATTGTATTTGGAATATTTATGGCGCTGACGAATATGAATTATGCTTTTGTGGAATAGAAACAGCGATTATAATTAAATAAAAAACTGAATTTTTATATTATATTATATAATTTTCTTATAAAAAGATGATGTATCCGGTTGGTACGTACGTACGATTAATAGATTTCCAAGTCTTCGCTCGAACCAATAATCCCTCAAACAAATGCTTAATTTTAGAGAGGGAACCAATTCAATCGGTCACGATGAAATTATTATGCATTGAACTTCCACGTTATTCATGTCAATTAAAGTTTATATATATATATATATATATAGAACATGCTTGAATGAACGTTGATAATTTGCATTCTTATATGGAAAATAAGATTTCTGTTTGAAAATGAAGGTTTGGTTAATGAATGGGGCATTACTCGAGGACTCCAAGGGCAAGAATCCTAAGGAATATTGGGAGTGTCATCTTCGGCCTGATTTTCCTGCAAAACACAAATACAAAACAAACAACCATACGAATATATATATATATATATATATATATATATATATATATATATATATGTATATATCCTGTGTATTGAGTGATTACAACCTATAATAATGGAATTCTTATTCGACAAAAATATATACGACGGTCCAATACCTTTCGATAACGAGGGCGAAGGGGGTCATGACAACGGTGGCGACGACATGACGATAAGTGGCGAGGACCCAATGGTTCATGCCGTGGTTGAAGGAAACCATGGTGATGATATACATGCCCGCGTACCCAAACTGGAGGGATATGATTGCCAATATTGGCTTCACTTTCTCGAGCCTTTGGCACATAATCCCGCATTGCCTTTGCCCTTTCATCTTTGTTTTTCGTTTCTCTATATAGAAAACAAAGTAATTGAAACTATGTATGTATATATATACTTATGTATTGCTCTCTCTCTCTCTCTCTCTCTCTCGATGAGAGATGTTTGACGAGTAAAGAACTCTACTTGTTTGAGGCAGGCAAAACCAAATGGGAAATGCACCTTCTTATAGTCGTCAAAAAGTTGGATGAAAAAAGATACCCTTATTTTATTCACCCAATTTTATATTATATATATATATATTGCAATATTATAATGCTGATATATATGAATAAGTAACATGAAAAAGTCTTTCATATATGCTTTTATCTGCATATTATTGGTTCGGGATATTAGTCATTTACGATTTGAGTTTGGAAAATCTTTTCATGGAAAAGAACTCGAAGTTTTTAAATTCAAAATAAAAAATAATATTCCGACATTGATTTAATTTCATGCAATGTTGAACACGTGTTTACATCTCAGTAAGTGTCTTATGGAATAGATAGTTGTACGCCAGATGGTTGGTGATAAGTGATTACATACAAACAAACATGCATGTATTCATGCATACATACAAATACACATGCATATATACATGCATGAATTCATACATACAAATACACACGCATGCAAAAATTTCACATGTATACAATGTTTGTTAATCGCTCAACACTTTCAAGAATCAGTTTCCCTGAACTTCCTCTGTGATGATTACCGAATCATGAAATTTTTTATGTTAGTAATTTCGGAGAACAACGTTGGGAATTATTTTTCTTCTTATATTTTGAAATTTGCAATGTTTCCGTACCCACACGCCCAATTGAGCAAAAATAAAATAAAATAAAAACAATAGATTCCCTTATCCGTTAACGACAAAATACCAAACCCTATGTTGCATAGTAGAATCCTCGATATGCTACTAGGATCAATTGATAATTTGATATGATGGGAAATATTTAAATAGTATAAATAATATTAAACATACATAAGATGAATTTATAACAAAAAGCAAAATAAAAATATAATAAAAAGAGAGAAAAAAGGTGTTTAATTCAAGTGGATCTCCTCCATAAACAATAATGCATCCTCTTTTTAAAATTCTGTTTTTTTTTGTTGTGTGTGTGTGTGTATATATATATATATATTCTTTTATGCTGTTTTATTAAGAAGTGGGGTTTCGACTCATTGAACACCAAATGCTTTCTTTCCTGTTTTAGTGCTCCACCCGTGACGCAATAAGTTTCCTTTAAAAAAAATTAACATTTTCAGTAATTGCAGCGATTAGATTTAAAAAAACATGTTTAAACAAGGAATTACAGCTTAAGTCTTTTACTTTGAGTGGGATAAATAAGGCATGTACCGATTAGAATCACTTTGTAAATATGGTGTGTGATGATGTGTGTGTTTGTGTGTATATATATATATATATATATGTGTGTATGTGTGGATGTATATATATGTGTGTGTAGCAAAGTATTACGTTTACGTGTGAGAACTATAATATCCATTCGAATACGACGAATAATATCCGTAAAGACGGTTATCAAGACTTTATTATTTTGGACTTGTTGGGAAAAAACTCGAAATTATAATTCAATACAAAGACAGATTTATTTGGCGCTCTCCGACTTGAGAACTAGTTGGATTGTAAGATCCACATACGTTATTATATATACATAAAAATGGAAAATAAAATTAAATATGAGGGTATAAAACACTTGGACCGTTTGGAACAATATCAAGGAAATTGTAGCGCGTGACTCATATTAGGTTTTTCAATTTCTATCTAAATAAATTGTTATTAGTTTCTTAAAGAAAAATAAATACGTCCATAATTTTTTTTCCATTATATATATAATGCAGAATATTGAGATTAAAGTGTATCATTTGGGAACGTGAAAAACAGATAAAAATGTTATATATATATATTCAACGTATTTTCCTTTAGGTCGTGGAGAAGAAAATCCAAGAGAGTTGTTGGTGGTGTTAGGAGTGGATTCCATACTGTCTACAATAAAGGGGCTTAATTATGGCTCCTTGGAAGATCGTTTTGGTTATTATGTTCCTTTAATTTGACCTTTTAGTCCTTAATTATTGATAGGTACGACCTTTTAAAAATAACTAGATTTGCATTTATGCTCCCTTTGTAATTTCATAATTATTCTATAAAACATCTGATTTCCAACTTAATTAAAAAAATATTACATCTCAATGTATATATATCCTACGGTTCCATAAAGAGAAAAAACAAATTATCATACTTATGGTCTATTCAACTAAATGGCACACACACATACAGATATATATGTGTCATCATTGAGATTAAACTTGTTCATATATATATATATATATATGATTTTGAGGATCCCATGGCTATCTATGTGTAAGATATGATTTGTCATATATAAGATATGTGCGAAATTATTATAATTCTTGATTGATATCGATTTTTTTTTTCTGCTAATGTCAAATCATTATATTTTCCGTTGAAATATATAATTAAAAGAAAATCTCAAATAATGAAAATAGAATTTAGAGAATTTTGTTTTTGGGAAAAAAAAATAAAAAGAGAGAGAGAGAGAGAGAGAGATGGAGGCAGGGAGATTGGTACAAAGAAGAACATGTGGGGGAGGGAGAAGGCAAGAGGGAAGTGGTGCTTTCGAATTAGGATTCCAACAAAACTAACAAAGCTAAGTGGGATGCCCGAATCTTGGAACAATTTCCCTTTGTATATATTAGTTTTCTTAATCTTCAAATCAGTTTTGTCATGTTTTTAAAATATGTTATAATAATATATCACAATCTAGAACGATACTGATTTATAATATAACAAATAAAAATGTCAAAAAATCGTTTAAAATAGATACCATTAACGTTTTTTTTTACTGAAAATCTATTACATTGAAATTATATTTTATCTTAATTTTTTAACATAATTTAATATTTATATTTTCTTATGATACAACGAAAATTAATTTATATACATTTTTTTATTGAGGTTTGTATGGTTTTATCAAACATATCGTCCATCATATATTTGTATATTGAATTATATGGGTGTTTATTCATCAAGTTTATAATAGTGGTCTATATACTATATAAATAAAGTGATAATTTAGTTTTTTTTAATATGGGTATATACTATATATGCATCCAGCTAGCTGTGCAATGAAAATGAGCTTATCTCATAAAAAATTAAATAAAAAGAAAATGAATAAGCTTTATCTTCTATGTGCTTACGCGAAGCCCATCAGCTTATACTTTTCTGAAATCATTGATTCGCTTCTCGAACAAACATAATATAAAAACCTCATAATTTATACATTTATATTGTTGCAAAAATATTTAAATGCCATAATACATTTATGTGATAATGTCTCAATGAGTACCAATCATTACAAATATTTAAACCTATAATTTATGACTTGTTCACCGTGCACCTAAAAGATGTACGAAATTTAATTAGATTTTATAATCAGAATGTATATTATAATTATTTATATAAGCTATGATGGTTTGCACGAGTTCGTATTTCTCTCCATATATGATCGTCTTTTTACCGTAGAACTTTGAATTTATATCTTTGCAGTGTCTTAAGATAACCAAAAACGATAATGTTAATTTTATGAAATATATTTTTTAGACAATTAATGTATGAATATGTGTTAACATATATGTATATATATATATATATATATATGACTATATCTTTATATATACCTTACAAATATATCTTGTCATGTGGGACATTTATGTAACACGTTCTTTATTCATATTCACGTAATACATACCCATTCATAAAGAATCCGATCCAAGAATCAGACCGAGTTCAAATATCCAAGGTTGACATTTTATATTAATAGCTAAACATAATAATTATTATTATTTTGCATGACAAATCCACTGGAAAATACGTGATATTTTACATAACTAAAACTTTAATTTTTAAGTGATTCCCAAAAAATCATAATATCATGAAGTTTTTGGAAATAGATTAAAAGTTTAGAATTCAATTTTATATCGGTTTTTAACATAACAATAGAATTAATTTATTTTATTCAGGAGTTTTATTTACTGAGTATTAATATACCGTTTTTAAATATTTACATATAGTTAAATACTATTTAATGATAAGAAAACCGACACCATTTTTTGTGTCCACATCTACATGACTTATTGCGTGTCCTATTTCTATATATATATATGCAACATTTATACTTTTTTTGTGGGACGTTCACAATTACAAACGTGACATAAATATTCTTTGAACATTGTGTTGAGTGATCGACCACATATTCTTTGTGGCTATAGATGTGCATATTCATGAACCTTTGCATCATTAAATTTGTCTTATAAATCTATTTCTATTTTTGTGAAATGATTCAAAATCTACGTCATAGCGTATCCATATGAAATGATTCATATCTTAGTCCGACAATACTTCCACTGTAAACGTACATATATGATATATATATGCATATATATTACAAAAATGTAAATGGGACATGAGTAAAAGCACTGATGTAATTGCATATCTGACAATTATGACGTAATAATTAAAACTATTCCGAAAATAGATGCCCACTATCGGGACGGGAGGGGACTGTTGTTGTAGCCTGCGGCCTACAGTAAGCGCCAATTGGGGGTCTGACGTCACCTAGTTTGGCTGTGATTGGCAGCTCTTGAAGGCTATTCTTCTCAGGCATAGCGAATCCCACTTCGGGATAATCACTTCCTTTTCCCCAAACAACCGAGTGCAACCCGATGCCGAATCCGGCGATCACAGTCCCTTCCCTTATATTGGGTTATTTTACCACAAAAAACTTCATTTATGTTATTTTAAATTAATAATCGATTTTAACGCATACGGTATAATGAAAAGATTAGATACTCGGCATAAAAATAATATAAATGGCAAAGTCAATAAAGCTCGAATAAATTGAGAGATATGAATGTATGCAATAAAAATATATACAAAAAAATAAAGTAATGGGCACTTCCAAATGTCGTGTATGGTTGCTGCTAATTCAGCATGCATGACATGGACCTCCTCCTTGTTTCTAGAGCAACCATTCAAATAATTCAGTGTTGTTTCTCCAAGGTTTTTTTTTTTAAATGTTGGACCCAACCTTTATACGTGGAATCGAATTGGTCACCAACTGTAGCTAACGATCTCAGAGAGACCTGCTCACCAGGTGCGTCTAACGCTCGACCACCACGAGGTGGGTATAGGGCACGCTGACGGAGTAAATCTCACGTCCACGTGTACGAACCTGTAATACACAAATGTGAAGTAAATCAGCCAAAACTGACAAGTAACAGATGAGCGGTCAAGGAGTCAAAGCGATATAAATATTTGTAAGATTTAAAATAATCGAATATAATTATATGCTAAAGATATATATATATATATATATATATAATCCGATATGGACGGCTCAATTGATAAGGGATGAGTCCAAATCTTTTTCCAACTCAGATTTTAACACCCAATTAGAGAGAAAAAAACACATTAAAATAGGTCTCAAAAAGATGTAATTGATGCAAAGATCCAATTAACTTTCCAATTAAAAAAATGACATAGAAAATTATTTTTAACATGCTTACTTGACCCAAATTGTTATTTTTATGTATTTCTCTATGATTTTTTCTTTTTTTCTTCGTATCTGCTTCAACAAAAATATTTGCTATAGTTGATTAATCAACACAAATATATTTACCTTCATGAATTTGATATAAAGTCCAAATGTAAGGGTGTGATACAATTAATATACTATGTAAGATATATATAAAGGGAATCCTATATAAGAACCCTATATAGCTGATGAAATGAATTGGTGGGGAAATAATAAGAAAACAGTAAAACATATAAATTATGAAAAAGATGAGTAGCAAATTGGAGATTGAAACTTTCTCCTCATCAATAGGAGGAGGAGATAACATAAGATTATTTTGGTCAAAGTTGTACAATGAATCTTTTCATCTGTTAATGAACTTTGCATCAAAGGTAGTTCATCAACTTGGCTTTTATCTTTTTATTATGTGCAACAAAAAACGTCACTTATTTTCTATAGTAATCATGCAACATGGCATTATTGGAAACTCAATATGTTGTTTTTTAGCCATGAAACTTACATATTGACCCAATCGGAGTAGACCAACTGATGTAGCTGGTTGATAAGGGAGAGGTGTCATTATCCCACCTCTCATGTTCGAGTGACCGGTTCAATTTGATTGCAGTGATGTTGCCGTCCGATTCATGGTGGATATAGTTAGACCGAATATCCAATAAACCAATCTAGATTAAAAAAATTTACATGTTGACAATTTGTATAGAGAAAAAGTGTTGGATACGAATTATATATCTAAATTTTATATTATCATATATCCCAAAATATATGTAAAATATTTTAAATCATAATTCTCGTAATTTGGCCAAAATTTCTATTTTCAATTAAAATATTCGAATATGTATACATATCCGAACTTGAAAACATTTTGTTTATTTAGGATTAAAAACTTTAAGAATACCCAAATTTGAATAGTTTAACCGGTGAAATGGAGGCGCAAAATATATGTAGATCCCGAGTTCGGATCCCAAGATTGGACAGAGGCATTTACCCCGGGTTTTTCGTGGGATTAGTTTGGGGTTTGGTTCAAAATACTCCATTACCAAAAAATAAACCAAGAACCCTAAGAATATATTTCTAATATTGATTACAAAATTAAAGAAATCTTGATCATTTCTACACCATATAATTGCAAAATTCGAACTTAAATTTGATCTACGGATATTTTTTCCCCTTATATTTTCCCATGAGAGACGCAAAGTACATTGCAAGATGCAACTATGATTAGCACATACTAAGCACACGAGGAGATGCTTAAATGCTTTATTAAAGATTATAAATACATATAACACATGCTTTAAGAAAGAGAGATTACCAAAAAGCTTAGATAAATAAATTCAGGATATTGCATTATCAGTGATGCTTTTGGTTCCAACTAACCCACACAGAAAAAAAGATATTTGTTTCAAAGCGAGTTTTTATATTTCACCACCTTTTGTGCTTAAAAGGACGTTGCGTTATTATATTATATGATCAAATGGCTGAAGACATTATGTCTCAATAATAAACCGACGATGCGACTATATAATCTTTGAATAAAAAAGAATATTAAATATGCCAAGACTTGTAGGGTTTTCATAGTATATGTATTAACGATATCAAACGTTGCCATCTACAACTTTGACTTCAATGTTAAATTATTATTTCGGACAAATTCACCATTAACGATATCTGAATTGATGGAAAACAATCATGAATCTCACATGCTCTATGAAAAAAACGAATCAAAATTATATATATATATATATATATATATATATATAGAGAGAGAGAGAGAGAGAGAGAAAATTAAGGTGTAAATTATTTGACAATCGTTTGTATTGTCTTCTAGATCAGACCAAAAAAATTCTCAAAATATGGGGTTACGAGAATGTAAAGAGACCGCAACCTTTAATGTATAGAAAATTAGCCTTACACATAATTCTAATTCTCGTCCATAAAAGAAATGATAATGACTTTAAAGGTACTCCTTACATTTTTTTTTCCGAAATAACAAATAGATCTCTTAGTTCTTAATTAGATCACAATTTGGCCTAAATAAAAATAGCAAATGTTACAAGTTCAATCGATTAAAGTATTGATCCGCATAATTATCGAAAAATAACCCCAACATTTGGTACCATTTTTAAGAGAAAACCCAAAAAAAAAAGACAGATATGCTGAATCACATGATAATAAAACATTTAATGTCAGTCGATGACAAATACGGAGAAACAAAAGTGACCAAATGAATAGTTCTGATTGGCCATTTTGTTCCAATCCTTTACCAAAAGTAGGAAAACGCGGAGAGACGTATAACCCAAGTAAATTGTCGTTTCAAACGTTCGTTCATGTCGCCACGCCATTAATGCTGGATCGAGAGATGTTGCCCGATGGTCTCCATGATCAATGTTGACCAACCATAAGGGTATTTTGGTCATTATATGTAAATGATGATCGTTTTTATTTTGATTTTTTTGATAGTATTTGTAAACAAAAAATTAGAACTTTTAGTTTTTGATTGATTTTTTTTATTAAAATAGTTTTCTAAAATTTTAGGAAAATTATATTTTCAAAATCCTAGTTGTCATTTTTTTTTTCGTTTTTCGAATTTAAAAAATCTAAAAACTTCGTCTATTCAACCCTTTAACCTCGATTAACGATTGTACAGGAAACCATTATTCCATACGGTATCAGAAACGTTTTTTCTGGCCGTTGACACAATGACCAAAGCAATATATAGGTCAAAATATAGTAGGAATTCCAGGTTAAACGATTTACATATGACCAAAATGCCCTTATATTCTTGCACCACACACGAGTTCTGCGAAAACATCGCAAGAATGGTGGATTGGCAAATATAAAGAAAGACTATGAGCCTTTTCTTTGGGCAGTGGGGGAAAACAACAAAAGATGTGGAAAAAAGCCAGAAGAAAAGAGACAACTTACGTGCCTAACTGGCATCACAAATTTTGGCACCAATCAATCCAAAAGTTAACAACAATATCAAAATCACAAAAGAAAAAGAAATGGATGGATACAATTCTTGCAAATTCAAAGCTTACGTACCTCTTACTTGCTTAATGGATTAGTCAAAAGGATGCAAAAAGCAATCCTCAATGTAACCGTCCAAACACGAGCTCTTCACTCTCTTGGAGTTTCGAAAACAAAAAATGGTCGGCCTTTGATCAAAGGGCAAAAGGCGAAAAGGATAAAGGATGTGTTAAGAAAGCAAAATCAGCATCTGCAATGATAAAGCAAGATACTATTTCCATTGACAGTGATTCCTACGGCAACAAATCATGCAGTGATGGAGAATCAATGGCACGATTGTCCAAACAATCAGTATGATTTCAAAAAAAAAAACAGGTTTTGATTTTTTTTTCTCCTTTTACCTTTTTAATCGTACACGGAATTTATCAATTGGAAGAAGCAGCCCTCTTTCTTCTGTATGAGCTCCACTCTGAGACAGAGGTGATCGATCATATGGGCAAACTTTCCTGACATAAAGATGGAAACTTGCATGAAGTCGCCTTCCTAAGTAATGGATAAGAATGCATGCACCATTCCAAAACATTCGACCAAATTCTCCATAATTAGGCATTTCCACTTGGTCCCCCACCCCCCCATTTTTTCCTCAAACACGCAAAGGGTATCGCTAAAACCAGAAGATTCATCGCCTCAAGTATGTTGATACAGAAAGTCATTACCAATAATGGCGACACTGATGCTACAGGACAATTGAAATGCGCTCATACCGACCACATTTGGCACGTTGGATCCAGAAATCCTGTCCGATACATATCCAGAAAATGTAACGAAAGCTTAAAGACTATGGTCCTATAGAGCTAGAAACCAAGAAATTAAAAGAACCCGAGATCTACCTGACAAAAACTCAAGCCCTAAGCTTCCACAAGGTAAAATCTATCTTGAATTCTAATTCATTTACATTAGCTAATTCCTACAAGAGAATTTTCCGTTCCCTAAATGGTAATTTACCTCACTTCGAAGTAGAACAAACAAGAACATACACTAATCAAAACAAGTTCCAAATTTGTGCCCTAATGAGATCGCAGAGAAGGGAACTCGACATATAAGCAAAGAGGGCTTAGGGTTTCCGACCTGTAGAACCAATTTGTATACAGATCGGGACGGGAGAACCAAAACGCGGTCTGCAGCTTCTCTTTCAGACCGTCGCGGAGACAACAGCCTGGTTTTGAGCACCGAACAAGCTTTCTCGTCTTCGGCGCGGAAGACGAACAACTGTCGAAAACAGAGAGCGCCCACTTCGGACTCCTCTAGCTAACAATGCCACAGACGAAGTACTCGCCGCCGCCATTGCCGCCGGAGACAGCGCGAAGTGGAAGAGGGAGTTTTAGCGATGGGGTTAAAATGTAAGCTACCAAATCGAGTACTCGGGCTAGAGGCCCATAAAGGCCCATATATCAAAATACAAAGGCCCACACATTTAAGCAATAAAACATTAGGCCCATACGTTTCCATAATATAACAATAGGCCCGTAAATTACATAAAATATCAGAATAGGCGCATGAGTTTTCATAATTTCACTTTAGCCCTATATATTAGCTTAACATGAAAATGCGCCCATAACTTTGCTTATATTTTAGGGTAAAAATTATTTAATAAGTAGGATCTCTTTTGAAAAATATGTGATCATAGGTGCATACTGGGTGTGACTTATACAAACCTAGAAAATACCTGCCATTCACATTTCTGTTTAGAAAAAAAAAAAAAACATTTCATGTGTGCCATGCTATTTCCTTTGACTATGTTACACTTTGGTGTTCTCTTTCCATTTTTGCTCTCCACCTCCCATCTATATATAGCAACCACCATCCTCTCCTTCAAGTTCCAGTTCCCTCCTGATCTTGCTTGAATCTTGACACTATCCTGATACCCAAACCATATAAAAGCATCGATCTTTCGTGTTCTTTGACCCGCACCATCGGTTTGAGTCTGTGACCGGTACTTATCAATGGTGAAAACGACTAAGAGGGTGACATCATCGCCATCTTCTTCTTCCTCGTCGTGTTCGTCATCATCATCACCATCAATGTTCAAGAACAAGAAGAAGTACAAGGGAGTGAGAATGAGAAGCTGGGGATCATGGGTTTCAGAGATCAGAGCACCGAATCAGAAGGCGAGGATCTGGTTAGGTTCATACTCCACCCCCGAGGCCGCAGCCAGAGCCTACGACGCAGCACTCCTCTGCCTCAAGGGCTCCTCAGCTGCTAATCTCAACTTCCCAGAGATCTCGTCCTCTCTCTTCGTTCCATCACCCAACCATGAGAACATCGTCATGTCGCCTAAGTCCATACAGAGAACAGCTTCTGCAGCTGCAAACATGGCTTTCTCCTCATCTCCCATGGCTCCTTCTTCTCCCTTTGATGATCATCGGTACGATGTTGTCTCAATGACAAAGTCCTCTCTGGACGCATACAATGAACAAGTCCCGCTGGTGGAATCTTCCTGGTACAACTGCTTCAATGGAATAGAATCTCCAAAGTATCAGTTCATGCTCAACGGAGATCATTCGCCTTTTCTGACACCGACCATCGACGATTTTCTCGAAGAAGGAGACATCAGAATGTGGAGTTTCTGCTGAATTTTGTTTGATTCGATGTTCACATGATGAAGCTTATGCTTCTTTCCTTTGTTTCTTATTTTTTTCCCGATGGTGTTATGTATACAGATCTCAGTCTATATACACTGTATCATATATACACTACTTATTGATTTTCACATTCAGAATAAGAGAGAAAATCGCTACAAAATCGTCGGAGCTTAAACTAAGCATTAATTACGACCATTTTTCTTATCGCTTGGGGCACTTTTATTAGGTCCATTTAATAATGATATTTAGTCATTATTAATATTTTGGTTGAGATCTAATAAAACCCAAAATCTATAGAGAAATATCAAATATGCATGTAATATTTACGCGTGACCATTTGCCGCCACCATCATCTCAAACAATCTCGATGTTGCATAATCAATCGAATCAAAATTATGCAATTTATTTTCTCCTAACCCCTTTTCGGACATTAAAAAATATTCATTAGACGGTACTTAGTAGACAATTATAAAGATAAAATCGAACCAAGCCAGCAGCCAAAACCCAAATAGACAATGGTACAGCACTGTTCTTAATAATTTTTTTTAGGATGTAAATGTATCTGTGTGATTTATTTCTTAGAATTTGTCCGAAATTAGCTAGTGAATTTTAATTTTTATCTGAGTATTTTAAGTGTAAATCATCTAATATATTTGGATCTATCTATATGTTATTCTATCAGTTAATAATTATTCCCAACGATCTGAAAATATTGTTTATTTTGTTTTCCGGTCACAAAATTTATACAGCCAAATTAGTAAATGTGTAACTTATATTCATATTACAAGTTGTAAATAATTGTGTAATTATACATAAAAAAGCATAGTACACCAAATATTGCAAACGTTTTTCGCCATTTCTCTTCACTTTTTTTTCACTTTATTTCATACGAAATAACTCGAATTCTTGACTCATATCAGATAAAAAAAACCGCTACTACTATGCAGACACACATATGATTTGCCATCTACTTGTATATCTGTGAAAAGATAACATTAGCGAGCAAAAGTGTAATAAACAAATTATTTATGTTGCAATATTTTCATATTATTTGTTTATTTGTTTTTTTATGACCGAGTATCTTCGGCCGAAACCTAGACTAATTTCGGGATCGAAAGCTAGCCATGTGCTTTGAAATATACGCTTCCTCTCTACGCAGGGTTCGAATTTGAGACGAGACAAATGTTTTGTAACTCATTTCACCAGGTAAACTATCTAGATTGGGTTGTCTGTCTGTTGTTGTTTACATATGTAATAAAAGTGGGGACAAAAGGTTGCGGAAACTCGAAACACCAAACAGAAAAGAGTTATGTGTTTTACGTAGATTCTGTCAATTTTAACTCCAAAAAACTCGAACATATCAAAATCTACAGTAGATAACTCACATGCACTTTGTTTAATTTAATTTGTCGTTTTGGCATGTGGGTCCCTTCCTCGTACACATTTTCATATGATCTCTCATGTATAGGAGTCTCGGCACATTCTCTTAAAATAGGCCCCATACCAAAAAAAAAAAAAACTCTCTTAAATTCTGTATTTTTTTTATAAGTATTTATTTTTATGATTCTGTTTCTATTTGAATGCAGTAGATAACAATTCTTGTGTTGTCTGTTGGGTCGTCACTGGGACATCATAAGCATTGCCAATTATTTTATATACAAAACCAGCCCACCACATAGGCATGCCATATAAAAGAACATATAACAAAAGTTTGCGAATAAAAATTTAAATAGATGGAATCGAGGATTAAAAGATGTAGAAAAAGAAAAGGAAAAATCGCAATTAATAAAAATTCAATAAAATAAATGAATAAAATATAGTTTTCCTAGACAACCATAATTCGAATTGTCACAAAAGAAATAAAAAACAAAAAAAAACATGGGAAAATTCATTGGATTATATGGGCCAAAATGGGCCCAATATTATATGGGATATCGGTGAATGGTGGGCCCATGTGGATTCGGCACATGAAACCTCTCCCGGCCGACAATCCCAATGATCTTACACAAAACACATCACGTGGCATCACTGCCCCTAGACAGCTAAACAAAGTTTTATCGTTTTCACACTTATGCCCTAAACACATTTTTAAAAATTAAGAAAATGACAAAATTAAAACGAAAACAAAAACGAATAATAATTTTTATTTATTTATTGAACAAAACCAAAACTTCTTCTTATTCACACGATACTAAAGACAGAAGAAATTGGATGTTGCTCAAACACAAGGCATCACGTGGAAGTTGTCTCATTATAACAAAAAATGTTAAACCCCATGATTTCGATTGTCAATTATTTGATCGCATTGCATTACATTACATTATTTACATACATGTTTAAGGTCATTTTATGCACCAAGTTCTTTTTACTAGTATAATAAATTACAAAACTGATTATGCACCTACTAAACCAAATTAATCATATATGGTTCTAACCGACCCTATCTTCTATTGGATGGACACAGATCGAATATTCAGCAAAATCAAAATATTATGAACTGTGTCGTAAAAAGGTCGAATATTTCATTTTAAAATTTATTTTCGAATTCGATGGTTACAAATATTCGAGATAATGTTATGATATGTGTAATAATATTTATATAAAATTTTAAAAAATAAAAATATAATTTTGTAGAGGGATGAATCGTGGTGAAAGTATGAAAAAAAAAGAGTTGATTAGAGATGAATAAAAATGAGTTGTGTTATTAATAGATTGTTGAGAAATAACAACCTTTAATCTAGGAAAATTATATTTTTTTTTGAAAATATCATAAATATGTAAATCATATTTTTCTACAATAAAATTATTCAGGTAATTTACGAGAGAATATTTCTTTGCCTTATATATAAAAAAAAGAATATTTCTTTGCATCCAGAGCTAAACCCAAAACCAATCTGGTTCTTTTTTTAGTAAACCAAACTAACCGGATTTGAAAGTAAACCGAAACCAAAATCAAACCAATTGGGCAGAGTACGTTATAAGCCCAAATAAATCTAAACCTTGAGCCCACTTTGAGAGACTCTGACGGAAGAATAGGGTTACGTTTTGCAGGCTAAGCCAATGAGAAGTCTTTAGAACACGGGAAGAGCACAGAAACCTACGCCTTTCCGAAATCTCTGCAGTTCCGTGCTCTCGTCTCTGCCTAAATCCTTCGATCGGTGTCTGATCGAGCAAATGGGTTTCTCGAAGGATCAGTTGCTTGCACGATTGCAGGTTTTCTATCTTCTTCTTAATATTTATTTACCCTTGGTTGATTCAGTTCGTCATTTTAGTCTTCATTGTTTCAAGAAATTCGAAAGGATAGAGAGGTACTTCATTGCTCAATTTCACATGGGTTTGCGTTGTTTCATTGAATTTATACGAGAAGTAATCGATTGCAATGTAGAGAAGTAGTCTCAGTTCTGGGCAGGATTGATTGGTATTTGTAGTTGTCAAGCTTTTTCAGATTTGATTTCGTGATTTTAGTTCCTGGAATAACGAATCCTCTACTTGAAACTTTTATCATGAATCTGTCTGGTTTGGATTTGCTAGATGAGTTTTGCATTCATATCCAAATTACGTCTAGGCAAATGCTGGTTTTGATTAGTAAGGTAGCGGAATGACGGTATAGTCTAATAGCTTAAATGGAACAAAATCCCGGAAATCTACCTTTTGTTTTTATGGTAGAATGAAAACCCTGGAACCTTTAATCGCTGGAATGAAATCCTGCATTCTATAATGCAACTTTACCGGTTCTTGTTATTGGTAATTTAGTTGTAAAAGCACATTAAAAACGCCATATTCGGTTCAGC